TACAAGCACCATAAGCCAATATATAAATTTATTTTAATCACCAAAAGTAATATTTAAATTACGTGGCACCCACCTAAATGGAGTGTTTTTAATATATTTGGATTAGTTTTCGACCAGTCCTAGATTTTTGAGTAGTAATCTATACATGCGTGTGCGGAGTAGTCTCAATTTTTGCAAGTTATATTGAACTATAAATCCTTAAAGGGCGGGTAGGTTTTGAAGGAATATAGCAAGGAGACATGAAATATGTTAATATGAACAAGAAGCAAGTTTACGATATTTTAACAGAAAACTCGGACACAAGTTTTACAAAAATGGAGCTACATAACTTTAACTTTTGTTGAATTTAATCTAATAATAATTTTATTATTTTGTGTATTTTATTATAATGTTAGATATACATACATATTAATATTAATTAAATATTATTTAGTGATAAAATTTAAGAACTAAATTTTAAATGCATACGAATTCCCTACATAATAAAAATTCAAGTACCTATTCTTATTTTATCTGTAATTTCTGTATAATATTACTGAAAAAATTTTGAGGTAAGTAATTTTTATAATAAATAATACCCTACACCAGTTATAAAAATAAAATGTGATTTAGTTTTCATTTTCACATTTAAGTGGAATTGTATTTTGCTACAGATATACTGAATAAAATTGTGGACATTAAAGTCACATTTTGAAGGGGACTTTGCAAAAGAGGCCCTATAATTATAAAATTCATTAGGTTCATCAAGGCTAGTATAGAACTTGGTTTTGCAGTGAGAGCATTTTATGAACTTAAGAACTCAGAAAATGATTCTAATCCGATTGGTATACTTTAAGGTGGGTATAAGACTAATATTATTGTGCGTTACAAACATTAGCACAAACCCAATACACCCTTCCTACTAATGTGGTGTAGGCTATAAAAATGCAAAATGTTCCCTTAGAATAAAAACCCCTGTTTAAAGTTAAGGAATATAAAAGAATTAATATACTTGAGAAATTGAGAATGAGAAACTGTGTGTATGTATGTATGTATTTAGGTATGTACACATTTATGTATACAATGTACATATCACAGACGCAATGTAAATTGATATTTTCAAGAAAATTTTTTGTATGTATGTAGATTAATATTTAGGTATATATTTATTAATTTACAAAATAAACCTATTGGATTCGAGTAATAAATAAACGAATTGAAATTGCTATGACATTTGTCAGCAGACAATGCAGTAGTGTGCAATAAACAAATGAAATGAAATTAAAAAATGGAAAAAGTAGAAATGATAGAAATAAAATAATACAAAACTAAAGTTACAACAAAAAGAAATTGATAATAATTTCATTTGTTTGGCACCCGTTTGTTTTACTAAATAATCAAAAGAATAAAATCCAAAAATAGATGTCGAATGTCAAATAAGAAAACAAATTGGGAGGTTCTTATCATCTCTTAATTAAATTTGTGAAGAAAAAATAGTCGCACGACCATGAGTAATAAAAATAATTCAAAGGTTAATGTCTCTTTAAATTAGAAATAATGTATAAACATTAACTACTTACCTTGCAACCCAAATAAATTGCCATCCTGACGCAAGCTCTTACGGCAGCATTCATACCTTGGGAGTCACCACCACTGGTGAAGACGGCCAAGCCCTTTCCCTTATGGGAACCACGTTCGATAAAGCGTTGTTTAACTTTGGTAGTCGTCATCTTTTACGCCTTTGTAATTTCTTTTAAAATTCCAAGAATAAGTTAAATTGAATATTTTTTAACTTTTCAAATCAGAAAAACGGTTTTTATTTCTTTTCAACACACACGCACTTTATTTCTGTATACCGAAAAAAGACCGTTGAAATGTCTATGATGAATTTCGACACTTTTGCTTTTATTTCAACAAATTTTGTTGTTGACTTGCACTTTTGTATCAATCGTTTACACTGGAATAGTGATTGATTTGTTTGAGAAATTTATGAAGTAATTTTAGTTAAAAACTTTATTATTAACTGGCTTCCCAATTGTGTTAGACGAACGAAGAGTAGAATAGCGTATGTGTGTATGAGTGCGTTCCGCCAAGGTGACACTAGAGTTTGGCGTTTCAAGGTGACCTTTATCGATTCTGTTGTGAATCTTTTAGTATACAGTAAAAGTGACGCAAAAGACTGTCAAAACAGTAGTATTTACAAAAAAAAAGATAATAATATTCAAATTACATACACAAAATAGCAATAATTCCAAAAAGCCGTTTACTTTATACGATTAAATTATTAAATTATGATAAAATTTTAAGATTTTTAGAAAACCTTACAAATATCTAATTTGTAAAATCTCCCACCTATTACGGTATAGTCTTGTAATTCTGTTTTGTCTGACAGCTTTCTTTATTCTGCACAAACAGCTGACTTTTGTTTTGACATTTGTTTGCTTTCTCCTTCATTTCATTGTTGTTATAATTCAAATATTCGTATTTTTTTATTAAACAGATTGTTCCAAAAATAATACATATTAAATAATTTCGTAAATAATAAAAACAAATTTTTATCAATATTTTTGAGACATTAAGTCTTAATAAACATTTCAACAATAAGCATTTTAGAATAACCACTAAAAATGATATTAAAAATACACTAATACCCTGTTTTACAAAATAAAATTTGTAATTAATTTCAATATTTAACTTCAATCATGAAAAGTTAAAAAATATTTTTTAGGAAAAATCGAGCTTTATAGCTCCGCCAACAAAATTTAAAAAGTCGAAATCCTGAAACCAAAATATACATTATTAAAGGATTTATTGCTATTGAGATATCGTGTCATCAAATTTGAAAACCCCCGTTTTTTGTCAATATTAGAGAATTTCTTTATTTAATCTATATATATAGAATCTACTTAACATCTGAAAATCCAATCTGTAGACTTTCAAATAAATGATTATCCATTGTTATATGTATCTTCTTCCTTTTTCGAGATATCTTAACCTAACGTTTGAAACAAATATAAATTAATTTTATTACTGAGCAAAAAGTTCAATTTAATAATAAATTTAGATTTTATTTTAAAATGTATTTTGAACACAATGATTATTTCATAAAAACAAATGAAAATTAAAATTTTTTTATGGACAGATCCTAAACCACCTTGTTTTTATTTTTGTGGGTTGATCTTTTAAATCAATATCTTCATTTAAATCTACCTAGAGGAGAAATTCCTTGTGCCGGGCCGAATACAAATCATACAAACTGGTTTAGAGATCTTGGTTTGTTCCACAAAAAGTTTCAACATTGTTCTCTTAAAAAGTAAAAAACTTGTTTATTAATCAATTATTCTTTAATTAACATATTTAATGACGTCGATCCCTACGATCGCGGTCATATCGACTGCGTTCACCACGGTAATCATCACGACGATCATACCGATCATCCATATAGTCGTCTCTACGACGAATGTCACCACGGTCCCTGTCGCGATCACGTTCCCTTTCCCTGTCTCGTTCACGTTCATCATAACGATGATCGTTGCGACTCCTATCATAATCCCGACGATCCCTTTCTCGCTCACGTTGATAGCGCTCAAGATCTTCGTTGTAGTCTCGGGTCCGACTACTATGACTTGGTCCCGCACCATTACTGCCATCGCGACGATTAGGCGATGCTGATCTTGATTTTGAACGTTCTTTTCTAGATTTTTTCTGTGATTTTCCTTTTGATTCACTTTCTTCTTCAACATTCTCTTCGTCGCTTGCTAAATCTTCATCCAGATCTTCGTCTAGCACAGACACTTTTGGTTCCAATTCATTATTTTCTTCCAAAACGGATCGTTTCTGTATTCGCGGCAAAATAATGTCGCATACTCGATCACTTCTCAACAGCTCATCAATAAATTCGTCCATGTAAACAATTTCATATTGACCCACTCTATTTTGCCTTCGCAGTTTACGATTGTCTATATACAAAGGTTCCAAGTACTTGTAACAATCCAATGCACTGCCAGTTAAACGCAAGTAAAAAGCACCCAGAGCTCGAACGTACTTAAATTCCTCATTTTTGATAAACTCTACCACAATATCTTTCTCAGGTTGTATTTGCAACATTTTTAATGTTAGACATAGAAACTGTGTTGGTTTAATGTTGCCTCCATAAACGCCACCAATATAACGCAATTCCATGGCTTTGTCCACCAATAGTTCTGCAGTTAAAGCAAAACATTGTTCCTTCCAATATTTCGAATCGTAAATGCGAGATCGAATAATTTTTTCAATAAGATACTGCGGATTTGTGCCATGTATGTTTTTGGCTTCCTTAACAGTACGATTAGCCATTTTAATATATTTTTTAAAACATTTACAACTGAAAAAAGTATTTTCTAAAAATCACGATTTCCTGCAGCCAAAATGTAAACAACGCTTTTTTTCTTTTATGTTTTTGACGTATAACCATCGAGATAAATTGTAATAGAATATTTACGCAGAGTTGCGTGTTTAAGGGCTCTTTAGACTATAAGACTTATGAAAAATCAAATGAAATTCCATCCGTATTTTACACTTTTGGTATAAGACAATAACAAAGTAGAATGGAAACAGCTGTTTCCTTTTTTTGTATGTGTTTACATAAAAATACATCCCTGCTTGTAAAATGTAAAATTTTCCATCCGTATTTTCTCTCAATGTGTGATGGTTTCATTGCATAAAGCGTTTAGACTATCCCATCCGTTGTCTTCTACACAATATTTTGACACCTCATATTACTTGTGGTATAATGTAAAAGTATCTTTAGTGTTTCAATCAAAATTATTAAATTTTTTTCTGAGTTTGACACACAAACATGTATATTCCTTAGGGAGCAGATTTTGCTATATTACCCAGCTATTAAAATGAACTTATACGAAAGTTTATTGGATTTTTGCTGATACTCGATGAAAATGCTGAAATTGTAATAGATTTTTACGCAGAGTTGTTTTCGCATATTTCTTCCGATGTGTTCCCAGTATTTTTAGAAAAACAAAACAATTGCTGTTGTCAATACAGATGTCAGTTTTGGATGACGCACTATTGAAGAAAAAAAGAATCTACATCTATATATTTATAAATCGCAATAATAATTCTAATAGAAAGTGAATATTTCAAATATTAATAGTGCTTTTGGACAAAGAGATATATAAAAACAATCACGATGAGTTTTTTCGGTAAAATGTTTGGTGGCAAAAAGGAACAAGCTCCAACTACGGGCGAAGCAATACAAAAACTACGAGAAACTGAGAATATGCTTATCAAGAAACAAGAATTTTTAGAATCCAAAATCGAAGAGGAACTAAATACAGCTAGAAAGAATGCATCCAAAAATAAAAGAGGTATATTCTAAAGCTTATTTTTCTTATATGACAATGGAAAACTTGGGATTCTGTACAATAAATACTCATCTTCAACAGCACCAATGATGGCGTTGGATTGCAATGTTTATTACTGTGTTGTAAATTATGACTCATAATTACATTTTCCTGTTTGTTTTTCATATCTTGTCTACGCAAAACTCACAACCATTATCACTGCTAGAATTTATTAAACTTTTGTTTTCTATTTCATCTTCCAATGATGTTATTTATTTTTAATTTCTGCCTCATACTACTGATGTGATGTGGCGATGTCTGGAAAATATTGTCCCAATAGAACGTAATGTTAAAAACGTATTAATAATTTAATGCTTTTTTGTTTTGATCTCACATATTACATTTTAAACTGTACAATTGGCCAACCTTTATTTTAAATTAAAAATTTTCTTGTGGTTAATAATGAGAAAAATTTGCATGATTTAATTTAATTGTATTGGAGATTTTAAGAAAAGCTTTCCAAATTTGGTAATACCTTAAGGTACATTTACACCTATCAAATATTTTTTTTGTGTAAATTAATACATATTTTTATTTTCTTTAAATATTTGATAAATGTAAACGTACCTTAATACTCCTTAATACTCTATAACCTTTATGCAGTACTTCGCTTAGATGATTATTTGACAGGTCGTTATAAAGGGTCTTTCTGTAGACACTTCATATCTTCCTGTTTAAATTTATTTATTAAACAACATCATGCAACTGTCCACCGCGGTACTATCAGAAATGTTAAATTTCTGGATGAATGGATACGTCGACAAAACCATAGATCCACATGAGATCCAAGAGCAACCATATATGATAATATGGACACCAACGACATGTGGTTTCTACAGAAAGATGATACGTGATTTAAGGAAGGGTTGTGCGATTAGTCTATTTTTTGTGCGCCAAATCACAAACCACCTCAAAGTAAACACAACCCATACAATCAGTCAAATTTACACGATTTTATACATATTGGCAATCGTATAGATAATTTCGAAGATATTCATTCATCTTACAATTTCATCTTATAATTTGGAATTTCATTATAAATTTTCTTATGATTTTAAATATAAGTGGGCAATACGGCTCTAACTCCGTTGAACATTTTCATGACTCTTTAAAGTATATATTAAAAGTTCGACAAATCTAATACTTTGTACACAAATAAAGAAGCATTAACTATCCACATTTCAATGATCAATTACCATATATTTTTATAACAAATTTTACGTTTGATAAACTCTTCACCAAATATAAAGTTTCATGTGTAAATCTTTAGTTTATCTTTTAGTTGACGTAATTACTTTTTAGAGCTCCCAAAATAAACAATTGTATAGTTTTTACTAAAAAATCAATTATGCTCCCAAATTCAATACAATTCCGCATTTGGGTGGATATAATTTAGTATGATTAAAAAAAATATATATATAATTATTAATTTATCCGTAGGATGTTTTTGTTTTTATAATGGAACAAAATTCATTTTAAGTTTATTTATTCAACTAATACTTGATAAATTATGTTAATATTGCTTTATTTAATAATAAATTTTAGTGGCCTTACAAGCATTGAAAAAGAAGAAGCGTTTAGAAAAACAATTGCAACAAATCGATGGCACCTTATCTACAATTGAAATGCAGCGCGAAGCACTTGAAAGTGCCAACACGAATACTGCTGTTTTGACAACAATGAAAAATGCCGCTGATGCGCTTAAAGCAGCCCATCAAAATATGTGAGTTTTACTTAATACATTCTATTATAATTTGTATGATTTATAAATACATTAATTAATTTCAGGGATGTTGATAAGGTCCATGACATGATGGATGATATTGCTGAACAACAAGATGTGGCGCGTGAAATCTCTGATGCCATTTCAAATCCTGTAGCATTTGGTGCTGATATTGACGATGAAGATTTGGAACGCGAACTAGATGAACTAGAACAAGAGAACTTCGATAAGGAGATTATCGGCATACCAGAACCTGCAACTACGCTGCCAGAAGTTCCAGATGACGAAGTTGCTGAAAAGGCAAAAGAAAAGAAGAAGGCCACTATCTCAAACAATCTAGAAACTGTCCCTGATGGTAAGTTTCAAATTTTTGAGATCTTTATTGATGTGTTCTTTTTTCATTAAGCTTTTTCTTTTTTTAGATGATCCCGATATGAAGCAATTATTGGCATGGGCCAATTAAATAACCATCTGGTATTACAGTGAATATTCTTTACTCGAGTCTCTTGAGCATCTTTTTATCTATCTCTAAGTCTAAATAAAACTAATTTGAATTATAATTTGTGATTGATTTTAAAATCCACCAAAATTCATTGCACTGCAACTCGTTTCTGTCCCAAAAAATACAGGATAAAGTAGAGTAAAGTTAACATTATTGCCTATTTTAATTTAAACGAATGAATTCGCAAATTATGATGAGCATGTTGTTTAGGGAAAATTCTTTTAGTTCTTCGTATTTCAATATTTTCTTGGACTTTGATAATAATAAAAATAATCATCATAGAATAAATAATTACTATTAATTACATATGTTTAAATATACACAACAACAAAATTCATAATAAAAATAACATGAAAATGATATTAAGCTACAATGCAATTTAATAAATAAATAGTATAACTTAATTACACATTTCTTATAAAGCTCAATTTATCGACCTTGGATGATGGACGGTACTCGCACATGTAAATTATTTCAAATAAAATACCGGGAGTTTTCTTCTTAGCTCTTTATGCGACGAACACGAACATAAATTTGTAATAATTCATGAAGTTGCACTGAGCACCTGATATGAATATTAATTGGGCTTAGCAGTGTGGTTGGTGACAAAAGACGCGTACACAAAAGTCTCACAAACAAAATAAGCGAACACCAAACGGTGGCTTCGATTAAAATTAAGCAATTATTTATTTCTTTTAATTTGTAATAATTTTTTATTGGTCAATATTTGGACACTATTAATTGTTGCAGATAGTTTGTTTGCACTCAAGTAACAAAAATTATATCAGTCTTCAGGAATAATTTCAACCGCAAACATTATAAAATTAGTTGTTACAATGAAGGTGCACATTTTTTTACTTGTGGTAAATAATTAATTTATGTTATTACATTTTTAAATAATTTCTAACTCATAATTGTGTGTATCTTAAACAATATTTAACAATTACAGCTGCTTTTAGCGTCATTTTTTCAACAAGATCAGGCGATATTGAATGACATTCATGATGCGATTGGCTGGTCTAATGTAGATTTAATAAATTTTCAGTATTTTAAAAACTTGCCATCGCAAGATCCCAAAAGAGCAGCCCAAGCAAATCTTTTTCTGGAGCATTTTCAAAAGAAGAAGGCAGTTTTAGATTATTTCGAAAATTTATTTTTGGGCAATTCACCATTTACTCAAGAGAGTGAAATTCCATTTGATCCCCATTTTGGTCGAGCTTGGCGTCCTTATTATGTTCGTAAGTTTGGTTGGAAGGGTGAACGACTTATCGATGCTTTGGGAAAGGGGTACTCTGTTAAGCAACTGAAGCATTTTGGAGCTATACCTAAGGATTATGGTTCCAAATATTATCCTAGCTAAAATATTGATAATATTTTATATAATTTGTACTCATCCTATTTATAATTATTTAAAATAAATTTTATTTATTAAACGAAATGATGTTCATTCTGTGCTGCAATCAAAAAGGTTTGCTTAAATATTTTAAAGAATTTATGTAAATTATATTCGACTATAGTACTTGAAATAACTTTAGTTCAAATTCCTTTGTCGGAAAATAAAATAATTAATGCAAAACTATAAATTGGTATAATTTTTACTGAAACTAATTTAATTTTGACGCTTTTATAGGCATTTTGCAGATTTTTCTATCTTCAAAATATTTTATTTCTAAATTCCAACTTAGTTGATTCTCAATCGATTTCAAGTTTCTCAGCGGATTCAGAATGAAGAGGCCTCTACCATGATATGATATTTAAGTAAACTAGCATATTTTTAATTTTAGTTTTGCGCCGTTTTCCAAGTTTGGACATGTGGTGCAAATACACACCTATTAGACATTTTTAACAAATTGTTGTCTTGTTCAGGCCTTTAACCCCTAATTTAGTTTATAATGACTTCGTCTGGCCGCAGGTACTTTCCCCTCTAGCTATATATCTACATGTAGGTACATAAGTTTGTATGTAGAAAGCGGGCTTCACTAAAAATTTAGTTTGTTAGTTTTATATGTAACTAGTAAAACTTTGAATACATATAACTCAAAAACTTAAAAATTTAGCTTAGGAAACTACCAAAATTAAACTCTTCGGTTTTGAATAAAAAAGTATTTTATTTTAAATTACACTCTTCTTTTTTGTGTGGATATGTATAGAACATTGTTGCCACGTATAAAGGCATCTCCATATTTGTTTTTTAGTTGGCCATTGACGTACTCCTCAGTTTGATCAAGAGCTATATTCATATAACCATCCAGACATGCTAAAACGCCTGTAAATTAAATCGAGCATTTTATATAAAATGAACTACTTAATGTACTTTGTTCAAATTTGCAAGTACCAGCTACATACATATGTACATACCTCTGTAATCAACACCACTGTTGAGTTTTACAACCACCGGACGTCCATGAATTTGATTTATAAATTGTGATAGAGCTTCTTTACGAGACATTTTGTTTTATCTTAAAAAATATATACAAAATCCTTTGCGGTCTTTTTTAATTTGTCAAAGAATTCTTTTGTTTGTCCACAAGTTAAATGTCAAAATTTTCCTACCCAGTATTTATTTTTTTTTTTCAAAAAGTTCTTACCAGTATTTCTTGACAGTCGGAAGGCTGTCTTTTCCAACACACATGGCTGTAATTTTTGGTAGTAAATTATTTTTGGTTTATAACTTCACCAAAAATTACGTTATAATATAAATTATAATTTTACCATTTGATATTACTCATATCTTAATCATTTATGCACAGTATTTGGGATTTATTTGCAAGAGAAGGCACTCATCTAATGACAATAAATTATAAGATACGATTGTTAGATTGTTAGGTATGGTTCAAAATTTGTATCCGAATTTTTAAGCAGTTAATTAAATTTTTGTTTTATTTGAGAATGTTAATAAATATTCTTTTTTAATTTTGAAGTTTAATATTTTAAAAATAGGTTTAAACTTTAGATGCTTTTCTAGAAAATTCAAAAGTTGGGAATTTTTTATAAAGTGTGTAGAATAAATAATATTAAAAAAAACTAATTATGTATTAAAAAAATAAGAAAGTAGAGAATTTCAAAACTGTATTTACATTACGGAAATGAAAATCGAAAAATATATTTTATTGAAACTACACATATAATTAATAAAAATGCATAAAAAATATTTAATTTGCTTTTTAAAATCTTATAAAATAAATTAACTAACTAATTAATAAATATTGACTATTATGCCTGAATTTCAATGTATGCCTTCAAGTGGGGTATAAGTTTTGTACTGATATAGATCTGGTCCACCATATCCATATAATAATTTACCACGTCCGTTGGAATCATAATAAGGGTAGCGATACTTCGGTCTAAAAGAAATTAAATTAAATATTAAATTAAAACCAACTATTTCTCATTACATAATTCAAAAGGGGAACAAAAGTCGAAAAATCAAATTTTATGCATAAAGTGTGATCTATAAATGTATTTTTTAAATTTACCTTTCAAAATATTGAAAATTTGGCGCTCTTGGTTGTACAGTGGCATTCGCTGATCGCAGCAGGCAAACAACAACTAAGAGGACCTGAAAGTATAGAAATGAATTTAAATATTTGATAATGAAAAATAATTAAAATTATATTGTTTTATTTGGCACACATAAAGACGCCTGATGACAATGCAATGATATGTTCGAAAAATCAAAATTAAAGTAGAAAATTCGGAGTTATGTTTTAATTTTTAAACAACTTCCCGTAGCTCAAATATACTGAAATTTGACATATTTATATTTAGACATCAGATAACAATATAATGTAATCTTAGAATTTTTAAAATTCCATTCGAAAATTTGAATTGAATTCGAAAAAATTATTTTCAAATATTTAAGCCTGTGGTTTACAATTTCAAAGCAAAATTGGAAAAAATTTGCCAAAATACCGTAATATAATTCCTTAAAAATAATTGCTTTCTTAAATAAATTTTTTTGCAGTCGGATAAGCATAAAACAATTTCATATTTATTTCCAAAAATCTACTTTGCTTTTATGCAATTATTAAAATTCAAAACTTCATTTTACTTACTACCGTTACTGAAATAAGAATAAATCTGATATAAGAATAAATAATATATACACCACTCGTATCTCATTAGGGGACTATAGAGACCTTAAAGGAAATTGTATAAGCTTTCATCGGAGCAAAATAAAATTGAGTTTTTGAAAAAAAAATATTCTTTAAAAAATTAAAAAAAAAAAATTTGAAAAAGAATTACAAAAAAATGGAAACAATAAAGAAATAGTTATCGGAATTGCTTTGGACAATTTTCGCTAGGACCAATAGGTGAAAAGTTACACTCATTTGAATAAAACCCTGTATGACAAAAATTTCCAACTTTGACCCCCTCTAAGTCTGGTAGTTCTTAATCGATAGAGCTGAAAATTTGTGTCTACTAAAAATCATCCAAATCGGAAAACATCGACTTCTATAGTCTGTGCTCTCATATATATTTTTTCATTTCCGATACTGCCAGATTAGGTGATATTGTTTTAACAACTGGGGAAATTATTTCTTGTTTTGTGGAAATTTTGGAGTTTTGTGGGGGATTTTTGAGTACATAAATCTTCGAACATTATATAATCCATTTTGTAAAGACTTTTGGCCACGCATTCAATTTTCTATCTGAAATTGTAATTATTTTATGCCTATTTCTTGTGGGCAAAATTCTATCACGATTGATGGCTAACTCTTTAACTCGATTTGAAAGTAAGAATATTCGAACGTAACCAACAAAGTAACCCCATTCCATAATCAACACAAGGAATCTTAGAAGGACTTTTGTAGAATACAACAAATTAATTTGGGAATGAGAACAGAAAATAATCTGGCAGCAATGTCCCTTCCTTCATTTGTTCAATCCAAATAATTGTTGCAAATATTATGTAATATTTTGATAAACAAAGAGAGTGAATGGGAAAGCGAATAACAAAATTCATTATGACACACTTATTTATTGTATTTGTTGTTATTGTTGGCATAAAGTGTTTTAAAACCCGTATGTCACAATTCTGCAGCTTGAAATAAACTACATAAATAAAAGCAACAACAACAATCACAAGTTGTTTAATTTGAATTTTAAAATAATGTTGAAAATGGGTCTGTTTCTGTAATAAAATGATGTCTAAGCTGTTTTTTTGGAAACTACCTAATTTTTGTTGGTCAAATAAAAACATACGCACACACACGCTGACACATGATGAATAAACTAAAAATGTTCAAGGTCTTTTATAAAAAAATTATCATTAAAAATGAAGATATACTTAAATAAAATGTTGCAATAATTCATTAGCGGTTCGAATCATCATTAAGATGAAGATTGAACTAAATTCAAACTTTTTGTTGTTGACAATAAAACGAAGGTCAGTCACCTGTTTGTTCATTTTAATTTCTATGAAATGTGACCTTGTTTCCTATATTTGTATTTGACTTTTCGTTTTAAGAAAATAAGAAAAGTTTAAAAATATAATAACGTTTTTATTGGATAAAATTTAAATTCACTGCGCATGCTCAAATGGGTGTAGAATAGACGAAAGTTGTAGAAGTTGAAAGTAAAAAGGTTTTTTGTGTTTTACTATGAAAGTTTTATTCATTCAGCGCAATATTTATTAAAATAGAAACTTTTTTGAACACTTAGTGCACGATCAACGAGTTGTTAATGCAAAATAAATATTTTTTATTTTAAAATGGTGCCACTAGACTTTTCTACATTAAGAAAGTTTTTTCTTTTCCATTTTACAGGTCATCAAGCCAAAACGAAAATAAGGTGTCAATTTGATATGTTGTGTTGCTATTTTCATTTATTTTGTTGTTAATTAAGAAAATCAATAAAGATTTTTTATTCGATTTCACTTACTGGTAGAAGAAATATGCCCAACTTGAACATCTTCAACTCTATGTTTTAGAATTTATTTCAATCTGTATTATTTTTCCTGGATTTTTTAAACTAAACTATGTTAAATTTTAGTTTTCTTGTTTGAAACGCCTAATCCGTTATTAACGTTTTATAACCGCTTTTATTCCCGTGTAAATTGTGACTAAATTTGTTACTAGTCGATGTTTATGACAATTGCTGGCTTAAGGTGGCTTCAACAGACAGAAAGAAGAAGGTAATTGAAACTGGTTGTAGTTGTAATAGTTTTAAATTTTTTATTATAATTTTATGTACATTTGTACCTAGTTTGTGTGTTTGGCTTTGTTTATGGTAAAGAGCAAAGAAATAAATATTAAAAGAAAGAGAAACATGGACAAAGAGAGTAAATTACACAAAATTTTGTTGTCTTTGTCAACAGGGCTGCCAGATAAATTTTATGTAAAATCTTGCATGAATTTATTTTTATTTATTTACAATAAATATAACGATATTTATTATTTTTGAAGCAATAGTAAAAAACTTCACAGTTCTTCAATCGTAATTACTCAATTCTTAGAAATTTTATGTCAAGTAAAACCTATATACATACGCCATGTTGCCATGCGCCATGTTGGCTAAAAGAACAAATTTATTAATATAAAATTATATACTACAGAGGCATTGTAAAATAATAAAACAATTTGAATATTTTCCTCGCTGCTTTGTAAAAAGTTAAACATGTTCAAGACAAAAAAAGTAAATTATTTTTAACATAAAAACGCATTGCAACGTGATCATTTACACGTTCCAAACGACAGGTAAGTAAGTACAACAACAATACTTGATGCATGCGTTAATAATTGGCAACATTTTAATGCATATATGTACATAAAACATATTTTAAAGTACAATCCACATTAGGAAACTAATAGAGAGTAACATAGTCTAGTCTATTCATAAACCTACTTAAATAATACCCTACATTAACTGCAAGTTTCAGTTTACAATTAATCAATACAAGTCTATGCAATTTTTTCTGACAGTGTAATTAAAGTCCCTATACTATATTAGTTTTGACCAACCATATTTTTTGTAAAAAATCGATTTCGTTCGTTTAAATAAACGATCCTATCTATAAAAGCGATTATACATACATACATATAATAATTATTAGTAATAACTTTGCTAAGTACAGCATTCTATCTTAACACATGTAGGAGGAAAAAGACCGTTGTGCGTCGATGCCATTATCGCTTAAGGGGAATCAGGCCGTACTTTTTTCTCTGTCTTCGTAATTTTTACGTTTCAAACCGCATTGGCCAAACGTGTGTGACATCCTATAACTGTATCGAGTTACGTTTTTTCGAGATGCAGTTTCACCAAATGCAGTCGTGTTAACTTAACCTAAGTTTTTAATTTTAATTATGGTGGAGAATCAAACAAAACTCAAGTTTGTATTAATCGGTTAGTTGCAACCAATTTAATAATTTTACTTGCTATTTCAAATTTGTAAATTTCCAATTTTTGGAGCAATAAATATGCCAAATTTAAAACAAACATGTACTACAGTTAGAACATAAAAATAATAGGTTATCATGAGATTGTTAAAAAGTTTTTCGGAGTCAATTGGTAATCTGAACCAATAATACGTGATTCACATATAGTGCTCTGGGTAAAATATAAGGAAGGAAGCTGCTTAAATACCAGAGTGTTTTTTTGCAAACTCAAAAATGAGGCCAAGCTTAAAACATATTATCTGTGTGTATTTGTTTACATACAATTATCGTCTGTTTGTTTTTTTTCGATTTGTAAACTGTATGATCGTCTGGAACTTATGTAACAGTCAGTACCAATACATTGATAAATTCATACACTACAGTCCAAGATGGGAACGAGTTTGTCGGAGAGCCGCATCTGAAGATAACTTAACAAAAAACAATGTCATTCGTATTATAAGTAATAAATGAAGAAAACATTAAGTTCATACAGTGTTGAAAGAAATAATAGGGAAATAAATTAATACATACATTAATACATATTTCTTCAATAGTAAAATGAAATAGTTAGCTAGTTTAAAAAGAAGGATTACAATGCACAAACGTTACATCAAATCCCATGAAATACACCTAGTCCTCCATCGGTCCTTTACCAGTGTCTCGAATCGAAACCACGAGCTCTGACAGACTAGAACACTAACCTACCGGAGCACACAAGGATACACATGACGTAAAAGGAAGGACTTTAGGTCGTTCTTATTATATTTTTCAGCACTATATGTATTTATGTATGTATACTCTTTTTTTACGCAGTGATCATGACAACTTAAAGTCAAAGTGGGACTGTAGGCAATTAAGTTATGTATACATATTAATTAAATATAAAGTAAGGCCTTATTAATCATAACAATTGTCATTAGGTTATTTTAACGACAATATAAGTAATTTAATAAAGTAGTAATAAAAAATGCTGTTGGAAATAAAAATAAAAATCACTGAAGCGTTTTGTGTTTAACACAAATATTATACATTCATACAGACTTCTTTTGAAGCAACAACTTTAAACTTCCTTGTTTAACGTTGAGAAATAAATATATTTTTTTAATAATTATTCTCAGATTTACAGAGACTCGAATCTGGCGTTTCTCTTTCACAAATTATTGCTCAATTTCTATTGATCCAACATGAGTATATGAGTGTTTATAATTTTTAAAAAGATCGAATGAAACTGAAGTTTTTTATATTATTTGTTAATTTTTTATGTATGTTTGAGTTTTTGTAGACCTGACTTACTAACTCTATGACTGAATGCCTGACTGGCTGCACATTCGTCAATGTAGTCTGAACAAGTTTGGAATTGCTGTTTATTTATGGTGGTTTTAGTGATTCGGTGTTGATCGAAGAGATCAAAACAAATTTTTATTTAGTTAATATTTAATTTATCTTGTTGTGATTTGCAGTAAAATTTCACAATAAAAATGTTAAGAAGACATTTTTTAATTGGTACCAGTGTAAGAAAAGCTCAAAGTTCGGATAATATTAAGAGCGAATTTAATGTAAAATTATTTCACTTTCTTTTAGTTGTTTGTTGTGATATTATTTTTTCAATTCCAACAAAGTGAATGCTTTATTTATCGTTTAATAACTGAAACTTTGCAAAATAATGTTGCCGGAGAGCCCATAACACACAAAAGAACTGAATGGGATTTTGATCCGGAAATAAGTCAAAAAAGACGTTCACTATTTTACGAAGTAAGTTTTTAACATTTTAAATATTTTCTGTAGTTTCTTTAATTTTTTTTGTTCTTCTTTTAGACTCACGGTTTTAGAGGGGCAAAATTTATTGAACGTATTGGGGTGGGTCAAGATGGTCACGAAGAAGAGCGTAGAATTGAGCAGCAGCTACGTGATGTTGGTAGATTAAATGGAGATCATAATATAAATTATCCGGCATAAGGTGAAATCGCAAGGAATCCAAACCTCTTAAGAAATTTGTGTACATACATATAAGGACATTGAACATATTTGCATTTGTATAGTAGTTATCTTTATTAAGCTAACTTATATTACTACATATTTAATTATTTTATATTGTTTAATGTTCTTATTATTGTTGTTGTTAACGAGTAAAAATGGAAGAGATTTAATAAATGTTCATATCGCTCGTTTATATGAAGACTGCCATAATTCTAAAAGTAGAGTTTAGAAAAATATGTACGTCCTTTAAGAAAATTATGGGATTTTCTCAAACTTGAAATATGTATGTTTATTGCTCGTTTGCAACTTAATTGCCATAACTCAAAAGCACAGTTTTAAGTAAATCGGCTCTGAAAACATGAAGTCATTTAACTTCAAATTTATTTGCTATTTTGACATCAAATGTCTGTCTTTTTTGGTGTATTTTAGACACTATGATTTGTAGAAATTAATGGACATTGTTATAAAAAAAACATGATTAGTTGATAAAAAAAAAATAATTTTGAGTTATGACTATTTAGAAGCTAACGAGACATACGTACGTATAAATACATAATTATTATAAAATTAAATGAACATTAAACAACATTTGTTCTCGTATTATTGTTTCATATTATAAAATGCTTTTTCGCTTAGAGTTTTTTCCTTCTTTTTTTGACAAGGATATTAAGCATTCACATTCAAATAATACGTACTTGAATTTTATTTTTAAATGTGTATAGATGTATATGAAAATGTGTAATTTGTCATTACAGGATGCATCATAATGTGTATGTATGTATAAACATATTTACATATGTATGTACGATTACAACAAACAAGCACGAGTTTTAAATCTCATCTGGTTTTAATAAACGTTATTAGCGCATTGTTAAATACTACTACTACTTATTAGCTTACTACCACAAAAATGTACTCCCCCCTGCATAGATTTTCATATACATATGTATGTATGAATATGTGCATAATTACATACATATATGTATGTATGTACAAATGGCTTACTTTCTAGAAGACTGACATAATCCAAAAAAACATCTTTGAATGTTTTATGACATTTTACTATTTCTGCTATAAATTAAAAAAAAAATTATACGATATCTAAAATAAAGCCAGTTATATAAAGTACAGATTATTATACATATTTTAATCTAAGTATATATTAAAATTTGATTTATTAAGTATTTAACATTACGTTAATTTTAGTTTACACGTTTACAGCAAAAAAATAATCTTAATACGGAATATAATAGACATTTTTTAAAATAGATAAAACTATATGAAATATTTTAAAACGGCCTATATATTCCAAAATGCAGTTCAAAAAACCCGAATTTTGGGTTATGTCAGTCTTGTAGTAAATGAGCGTTAAGCCCTGAAGTTTTTAAAGAACCATTACCAACCATGCACTTTAAAATACAAAAAGTATTATTTATCTTCGGTAGTTTTATACTTTAACCCCCTTATTCATAAATAAAAAGACTTGAACAATTAAACTTGATTTAGACATACATACATACATACATACATACATACATACATACATACATACATACATACATACATACATGCATACATACATACATACATACATAGATACATACATACATACATACATACATACATACATACATACATACATACTTACATACATACATACATACATACATACATACATACATACATACATACATACATACATACATACATACCTACCTACATACATACATACATACATACATACATACATACATACATACATACATACATACATACATACATACATACATACATACATACATACATACATACATACATACATACATACATACATACATACATACATACATACATACATACATACATACATACATACATACATACATACATACATACATACATACATACATACATACATACATACATACATACATACATACATACATACATACATACATACATACATACATACATACATACATACATACATACATCATACATACATACATACATACATACATACATACATACATACATACATACATACATACATACATACATACATACATACATACATACATACATACATACATACATACATACATACATACATACATACATACATACATACATACATACATACATACATACATACATACATACATACATACATACATACATACATACATACATACATACATACATACATACATACATACATACATACATACATACATACTACATACATACATACATACATACATACATACATACATACATACATACATACATACATACATACATACATACATACATACATACATACATACATACATACATACATACATACATACATACATACATACATACATACATACATACATACATACATACATACATACATACATACATACATACATACATACATACATACATACATACATACATACATACATACATACATACATACATACATACATACATACATACATACATACATACATACATACATACTACATACATACATCATACATACATACATACATACATACATACATACATACATACATACATACATACATACATACATACATACCTCATACATACATACATACAACATACATACATACATACATACATCATACATACATACATACATACACATACATACATACATACATACATACATACATACATACATACATACATACATCATACATACATACATACATACATACATACATACATACCTACATACATACATACATACATACATACATACATACATACATACAACATACATACATCATACATCATACATACATACATACATACATACATACATACATACATACATACTCATACATACATACATACATACATACATACATACATACATACATACATACATACATACATACATACTACATACATACATACATACATACATACTACATACATACATACATACATACATACATACATACATACATACATACATACATACATACATACATACATACATACATACATACACATACATACATACATACATACATACATATACATACATACCTACATCATACATACATACACATACATACATACATACATACATACATCATACATAATACATACATACATACATACATACATACACATACATACTACATACATACATACATAACATACATACATACATACATACATATTGTATGTTAAACATATACATACATACATACACTACATACATACATACATACATACATACATACATACTACATACATACATACATACATACATCATACATACATACATACATACATACATACATACATACATCATACATACATACATACATACATACATACATACATACATACATACATACATACATACATACATACATACATACATAACATACACATACATACATACATACATACATACATACATACATACATACATACATACATACATACATACATACATACATACATATACATACATATTGTATGTTAAACAATATATTTCTCATTTACATTACATGTTTACTTTTCAAAAATTCGCAAAAAACAACGTTTACAACAAAAAATTCGTCTAACAACAAATATAACAGACATTTTTGAAAATATCTAAAACTATAAAAAAGACTCCAGAATGGTGCATATTTAGTATTAAAAGACACACCTTAATTGACATCTAAAATGCATTTGCATCGCTTTTTTATGTATATCAACCAAAAGCGTTGAAAATAAATTTGTGTAAACTACTGCAAGTACTACGGGGTACAAATGTACATATGTATACTTTTCATTTACATTAGTATTTGATTACTATCAGGCTCGGTTACACAAGAATGTGAATATAAATAAGGCTTTATAAAATCTTGCGACTGTCTAGATACATCTTTCTTATATTAAAGTGACGATATGTACATATGTATGTATTTGTATTTATGGTAAACTAAATTAAATTTTTTAAGGGTATGTTATATGCCTACTTTCCCTCCACAAATAATTTTTTGTACCGCCTCTGGTTATTAATAATTCATTATTTCTAATGTGCGTATTGTTAGAATTAATTGTAGCCGTTTGTGGTTGTGGGGATGTGTATAAGGATGGATGTGCAATGTTGCATTGTGCATACAATTGTAAGATAATTACATTTTGTTGCAAACATTAGTATTAAGGCCTCTTCATAATTTCATCATTTATGGCAGTTGTTGTGCCTTAATCATTATAATTTGAGCCAATTTTATACTTGTAACATTCAAAACCAGGACATATTTACAACAAATATTGCCAAGTCAAAATGAGATTGAAATAAACTAGATTTTATGATTTTTTTATGTAACTTAATGATGCTAACATGACTCAAACATACATACATATGTACAATGTACATACATATGTACGTATGTATATACATACATACTTATGTATGTATACGTATTTATGAAAATTAATAAATCATATGAATGAATATTGAAAGTGAAAACAAAAGACGTTGGTGTCAATAAAAATTTATATTTTTTAATTTTAATTATTATTTAAGAATATTTTTCTTTAAAAATGATGAATTTAATACATATATGTATGGGGAATTAATTTCATGTCAAGTGACCCAACTCGATTTCGGCGAAATTTGCACTAAAGTTAGTACTATTGGATATTAGGTCAGACATAAATTTTCAGCTCTATCGGTGAAGAACTGCCGGACAATATATATAAAGCCCTTTAAGGAAATTGTATATGCTTTCTTTTAAGTAAAAAAAGACAAAAAATAATAAAAAATAAAAAAAAATTAGAAAGAATGAAGAAATAGCTATCTGAACTTCTTTAGACAATAGGTGAAAAAAACCCTGTATGACCAAAATGTCCAACATTGACCCCTTCTGACTCCGATAGTTCTTGAACATTTGCGTCCGGCCTACTATCCGATAGTACGAACCTTGGTGCAAATTTCATCCAAATCGGAAGACATCGATTTTTAAAGTTGGGTCACTTGACACGAAGTTCCACATATTGATAAATCTTCTCTCTCTACCTCTTAACATGCATACACAAAAGGCAAGTCTGCTGAGACGACTTTTCTTTTAAATACATATTATCATATTTCTTTTCATGGTACAATCGGTACGAGGTTTTCTAGCAAAACTAGAATCTATTGACTTTAAAGTTTAAAGTTTAAACTGTTGTTTAAACGCAAGCTCGA